TTGTTCTTACTCGTGGGGGAATAATTACTGCTTGATGAGTCATTTGACTTGACTTCTTCATTCTTAATCTTTAGTGGTAATTAGTTTGGAATCGATACTCTGTAACACCCCAATTTAGGGGCTAAATTTAAGAAATTATAAATTGATAGATTTAATTGGTATTTTGAAAGAAATGGTGGATTAAATTGTAATATTTCAAAGTTGGAAGATCGTTTTAAGAAGTACATGAAATTCAGTGGCTAAACCCATGATTTAACCGTTGAATTATAAATCTCCGTGCGCAGGTTCAGCAGAGATTTTCCAGTTTTCCCTCTCTAACAACCCTTATTTCAACTCCGATCTACTCGCCGTATGACCTCCGATCGACGAGCCGAAACCACCATCGTGTTCGTTGTCAACCGAGGAAGAAAACCCCTCAAACCTTTCGTCGTGAATCGTCTCCGTTTGTCGTTAATTTCAGTCGGAAGTATCGTCGGTAATAACTCGATTTCAATTGGTTTTCCGTCGATTCACGACGATCTGATCATCCGTTTACGACACCTCCCACACCATCGTGTTCCTTGTATCGTTCTGAGTCCATTGATGTTCTCCGTTTCTCTGTCGTCACTGGCGCGTGGAGGGGTAAGACCGTCAAAGTTTCCAATGTTTTGGAATCGAGCTCTCCGTCGTTCAAAATTGTGAACCGAGCTTTGTAAGTGCCTCAAAATCGCTTAAAATAATTTTTAAGAATTTTTTCGGGAATTTTTCGACACCGTAGTACTGTTCACGCGCCACATGCGCCACCCCCGAGAGTGGGCATCGTCTGAGTAATAATTTAGTAATTAATTTATGTTTGGGTGCTATTTGTGTAAAATCTGGGTGTTAGATTGGTAAATATTTGCAGAATGAGGCTAATTTGGTAATCAATTTATGTTAGGGTGATATTTGTGTAAAATGGTCGACTGTCGACCGTTGACCGACGTTGACCATAGTTGACCAGAACTTTGATTGGCTTTGACCGGGCATTAAACGACTTTTGACGTTGACCGAGTATATTTATCCTGACATTTTTCGACGTTCCGAATCCGATTCCGCAGTCCGTTTTTCAAAATTCGGACCCGATGGCCTTAAAATTGCCAGTCAAACCCGTTGACTTTGATTTTAACTCGAAAATTCCAAATTTTTTAAAAGTCATATTGTATGCTTTCGACGTTCTGAATCCGAAGTCCATTTCGCCAAATTCAAACCCGGTAAGCTATTTTTGACTGATTTATCACCCGATTCGATTCGTTTATCGCAATTAAGCTCTATTTTTGATGTAATTTCTGTTGATATGGATCCGAGGAAATATTGGAAGATGATTTCAAGATTGAGGACGTTTTAATGGAATTTAATGGTCGTTCAGTATTGTACGAAAATCGAGATAATACTTTACTACCTCTTTATGCTTTATGGAACATGTTGATATTGGTAAATGCATGAATAAGATAATATTGATCACTTTTGTGGAGTTAATTAATTTATACACTTGATATGAATGTGGTAAAATTCGATAACTGAATTCAGATCGAATGATTAATATAAGAGATCGAGGGAATGTTAGAATTAAACTACAAGTTATGTGATTTGTGATAAAGAAATCAGCCATGGATTTGTAACTTATATTTTAAAGGTTAAATGTACTTGGGTGGGAAATTATGAGAATACTCCGGTATGGTAAAATTACGAAAATACCCTTATATTGTAAGATGACAAGAATTATCCCTGGAAGTTGGTTAATAACTCTGAAAAGACATATTGATCTGATATAATTACAGATGTGCATAAGAAATGCTAGTTTTACTTAGAAAGTTTAGAAAATTGGTTTTAACCCTAAAAGGGTTTGTATAAGATATTATAAGTCTGTTAAGGAATCATTTCGAGATCAAAGAATGTTCAAGAAAGCAATTAACCATTGGATCTCTAAAGTATAATTATTTTCGTTAAGAGTTAATACCGAAATTATCTGATTAAGAAATTACAAAAATACCCTTGAGAGGTAAAAATAGTTCAAGTTGACTCTGAATGAGAAAGTAACATGAGAATTTGTTTTTAAACCGATAAATTACTGATTTGATTGTTAAGATCTTATTTTTGTATGGACAATTCTGATAATCCGTTAGTAACATCTGAGAAGGCATTTAACTTGGAAATCTCCGACTTGAGTAAGTACGTAAAGAATAATAATTTATCGATGGTGATATTTTGTCAGAATAGTTCAAATGGACTGACATAAATGATAAGTTTGAATTAAATAATAAGATCAAACGGAAGGAAATGATTGAAATATTCTAGATTTGTAAAATGACCAAAATACCCCTAGAATGGAAATGACTCAAGAATGTCACCAAGTTCAGGAATGAATGGATATACTCAAGCTTTGAAATGAATAGAAAAATGTTGAGCACCAAAATGACCAAAATACCCTTATGACCTAGAATAAGTAAATGTCTTGGATTAATTAAGAAATCCAAATAAACATGGATGTTGTGCTACCAGTAAAAGTTATGGAACACAACTTAAATGGTCAACCAACGTTAGTGCTATATCATTACCTGAATGATATAAGTACCACTTGAATGTTTGTTCATCTTCTCAAATTTGGATCGATGATAATTCTGGAAGTACTTGGCTCAGCTTAACTCTAGAGCGCATACAATACTAATAAGTGGGTATTCGTGAGTCAAATCAACCACGAATACCAGAATAACTTTATTATATGAATAAATTGAACTGAAATGAAGTACAACGTGTATTTGAAATTCAGAAACGTCTGAATTATTCTGGAAAACTTTAAAGTAATCGGGATAGACTTGCTTACTAAACGAACTAAGTAACATCAATGATTGAGGATTAAATAGGTGATTGGATGAGTTTGGAAACACTGTTGAACTTACATGATGAATTGTCCTTATGGGTTATGAGCCATGGATCAAGTACGTCCGTATTTCCTGATATTGTTGAAACGTGGAAATGAAATAAAGACCGTTGGAAGATTTATTCAGTGATGATTATGGGGATGATCTATGGATCTGCATTACGGTATTAAAGAGTGAATACACTGGAATGATAATGAATTGACTTGTTGGCATGCATCAGTTTGGGAGTTGTATAACTCGAGTTGTTTGATAATATGATCGATAGTCATAAATTGTAAATGAATTGAATCTTTGATTCTATATTTTCATCTAAAATCACTTCGGTCATGTTGGAAAACGCAAGTAACGCAGAAGGAAAAGATTCTGAATACCTCATTTGGTTCAATTGGGCTGAAAACCTATGAATTCAAAGTATATTCCTGAATACCCCTGATTGTTTGGGTAATGGAATCACTCGCAGTAAATCTGAATTTAGAATTATTATGTATAAAGGTTCCTGAACGTTTTCCTGATGCATATAGAAACTTAGTGGAATTCTAAAAGTATCAATCTGAAATGTCTGATTAGATCGGTTAGAAATCGATTCTCTTCAATAAGATCTTATTATTGGAATCCGATCAAATTGCACAAGTTCATGTTATCCATATTGATGACTACAAAATGCATCTGAAAAATAATTTGATTCTCTAGTGTGTTCCTTATATTTTGAAAAATTGTTTTATTGTTTTAACATGTGGTACACTGAAATCTATGGTTACTGTTTTATGGATGCACCGACTTAACGGTGATGGCTTATGGATTTGTATCATTGTATAAACTGTATTTTGGAGATACAAATTTATAAAGTACAGCTTTGATCAAGATGAAAAAATTTTATGGACCTAATGTGACTCTTAGGTAGGCTCTGCGGCCTTGAGATCATTCTCGGGTAGGCCCTGCGGCCCTAAAATGTATTCTTAGATAGGCCCCACACCCCCAAAATCTATCTTGGGTAGGCTCTCAGGCCCTAAGATGTTCCCTTAGGTTAACTCTTTGTATAATGGTTTTAAAATACGAGTTTAAAAAGCTCCACTACATTATGGTTTATGGGATTTTACTGAACTATCATTTGATTAGTGTACCTATTATGGTTTTATCGTACTGATGGAACACACTAGGCATCCTATTCGACCTCATGAAAACGTGATAGTATGAAAGGTTTCTTATGAACTGAGATTCATGGCTTCTACTCGATGAACTACTAATGGAACCTCAGATTATTCCGCAATTGGTATACGTTTGATTCAATAAGGAAATTATGGCTTCCCATTTATTTGCATGTCATGTAGCATCATCTGGTAGTTCTGTATTACTGAGCTTTTCGAAGCTCACTCTATTACTCACCATTGCAGGTTAAAAGAATTGAACCAGTGTAGCTATCGACTTCAGTAAGGGAGTTCTTCCGGCGTTGTTGCAGAGTATGGTACATGTGTTTAGGGGGCATGTAATTGTATTTTGATTTATATACGAGTCTGGAAATCTGTTTTATTTCTGCATACTGATAAATCATTTTATAAGTTACATATTTTAATAAAAGTTTTAAATTTTCTGTCATTTTTACAGTGGGTCGCTCCGGTGGCCCTAATGTGACACCCCGGATCGGATCGGGCTATCCGCATCGGTCTAAGGGGGTTACATACTCGCCGTTGAATATTGATAATGCACGAATAATAGTGACATTTTTAAAAATTTTGAACTTTTAATTTCAATAGAGATGCTGTGTATATATAATATATATACTCATTTTAGGGTTAAGACTCCTCAGTCAAGAGCCAATGCATACCTAAAACCAATTGAGATTTATATAAGACTTTAGAGATTGCTTATCAAGAGTGACGGGATTCAAGCTTGACCTTACAAGTTCAAATTCTGAATCTCAATCACTTGTGCCAACACTCTATGACTACATAACAATGTATATTCTAATGCATATATTCATTATATATTGTGATTTGATTGCATAAATGATATTAATAATAATATAAAATTTTCATAATCTACTGTTAATCTTATCCAACAATTATATATATATATATAAGTCACACTCATGTTTCAATTCGAGTCATGGTCACATTCGGGTAGCTCATGATTTCAACAGTTTGATTGGACTCTTTTCTTTGGCTTTTTAGTTAAGCTTTTTTTATGGCTGATTCCTTCACTTGGGCATTTCAACAGATACCTGGCACCGGAGTATGCATCGACTGGAAAGTTGACGGATAGATCAGACGTTTACTCATTTGGAGTTGTGCTTTTAGAATTCATAACCGGCCGAAAACCCGTTGATCCAACTCGGCCTTTGGAGGATGAGAACTTGATCGAATGGGTATGCATCATTCCATTAGACTCTCTTTCATTGTTAACATATTACCCATTGCTCTTCATTGTCATTCACATCTCCATTAAATTAAATTCTTGAAAGAATTTCCATAAAGAAATTGATGTATTTATCGAGGTTTCCGTATAACATTGGCAGGCACGATCACTCCTTGTCGAAGCCCTTCACATGGATGATTTTGGCGAATTAATCGATTCACGGCTCGAAAAGCGTTACGTTGAGAGAGAGGTGTTTAGGATGATCGAGGCAGCTGCTGCTTGTGTTCGGCATTCTGCCGCAATGCGACCTCGCATGGAACTCGTAATATTCTCAAACTCCCTGCTGCCACTGTTGTTTTCAGCTTGAAACCGTTTGTTATGAGTAATTTTGCCATTGCTAATTGTGACACTAATCAACTCTTAGTGAACTGAAAATCTGTATTCAATTTACACATTTCTCCTCCATTTTCCTCTTATGAAAACTGGAACATTGAACTAAAATTGTTGAACATCTTATAGGTGGCAAGAGCATTGGATTTCGAGGGAATTTCCGATCTCTCAAATGGCGTAAAATTTGGACAGAGCAATGCTTATGATTCCAACCAGTACAGTGAAGATATTACGAGGTTTAGGATGACAGAACACAGCAGAAACAACCCCTCAGAATTGGAGATATCAAGCTTAATTATCAGCTGTAAATTAGAAAAGGAAGATGACATAAAAGGAAAAGAAGCCTAAATGAAACTAAAACTTATCATCCTCATAGAATTAGTAATTTGTATGTAGAATTTGGTAAGAACTACGTGTAAGAAAAAAAACCCACTAAAGTTTTACAGTCAAAAGATCTAAATCATGATTGTTGGAGGATCTTGAAGTGAAGTATCCATGAATGGAATAGTCCTCTTTGTCTCTCAGCTGAAAACTGCCATTTTTACTATACATTGCTTCAATCTCAAGTCTCAATCTACACTTTCAATACCATATGTTGAACCTGGAATCTGATATATCTACTTTGCTAAGTTTGTCAACAAGTCTCTCAATTTCCTGGATCGAAAATCCCCGTTTTCCTTTGCACAAGTTCAAACAGACAGTGTTAGAAGAAAAATATGACAGTTACTATCATGAGTATGGGGAATGATTCTCTAAGAACCCTCCAAATACATGGGGCAAAAACTCGGAAAAATCAAACATACCTATGTCGGATGCATATCACCGAGTATATGAACCATCCAGTGATTCTTACCTCAACTTTGAAAATGCTGAGAGCCTTTTCATTAAATGTCGTGACATTAGCATCAATCACTTGAAGCCCCAAAGAATCTATGCCTTCCATCAACTTTGCAAAGCTACCTCTCTTGTGCTCATAGTAGAGCTTAATCAAGAACTCTCTTTTAGTTATTTGATTCACTTCTACATGTACCTGAGAAAAAGTGAAGTGGATAAGAAGAAGAAAAAACACCAGTAAATCTCAAGAAACTAGGCTAAAACGAGTTGGAAAGTTGGAACTCTAGAAAGAAAAAAAAAACTAGGGTTTAAAAACCACTAATTTTTCTTTATTGGCTGTAGATCTTATACAGCTTATTTATAATAAACTTTCAGCAAACAAAGTTACTTGTTTTGCAAGTAAAGTTTTGTTCTTATCCTAGACTTAACCCTCAAGAAAACTAATACTCTAAGCTGTCCAACATAAGCTGTCCAACATATCTAATGCTTAACTAAAATAAAACAGAAGTAATAAAATAAAGTGTTCTGAAATTATTCCACTGCTTCAAAATGATTCAAGAACATAGGTTCAGTAGAAAGTTTCAATCATGGAAACTGTGACAGAAGTAACGACAAAAACCAGTGTTTAATCTCCATTTCAATTACCTCCATTTTCACCATATTGGTAAGGCTGGATGAAACTTGGTTCGGCTTAACAGCAGACATGTTTTCCTTATGTAACTTATCTGACTTTGCAGACCTCAGTTCTGAGTCGCTCCTTTTGCAGTTTTCTTCCTCGATTTCCACGAGTTCATCTTCAAGTTTCTTCTTCTCCTCCAGCAAATCTCCGATATATTCGATGGCATCTGTAAGAATAGCAGGTCTATCCATCTGCAAAATCGAAGACAATGATACCATTAGAGGTGTCTAATAAGAAGGCAGAAGAGTGAAATTAGCTTTGTTATCATGCTTATATGTTTTGATAGTTCAGGCTAACCTTGGATATCTTAGGGACTAAAGCTCTTAGGCTTGAGGAGCTGTTCATTTATCCTCTTCCTTCGGTTCCTCTCTATGACAAGATTCTTAGAATGGCATTTCTCTTTTTCTGGCTGCTCAATAGTTCTCGTACTGTTGTTTACAGACTCGTCGCGATTTGGAACAAACCTTTCTTGTTGCACAAACACATTTTTGCTGCCTCGTAGTCTTTTTGTTACACAATGTGTGCCGATTAGCTGCTTGAATTGCTAATCTTGAGAAATGCTGGCAGAATCTGAAGCAAAGGGTGGATTTTCAATCGAAGGACTTGAACCGCAGTACGATCCATCCAAGCTAGGATGGGAGCTCAAATCTGATATCGGCAGAATCGATTCTATTCTTGGAACAGAAGTCGACAAGCTAACGGAAAGTGGCAAGTTAGACCATTTGTCAAAATTTGCTCTTGTATAGTCTGCAGTTGTGACTACTGATTTTAAAAACGAGTTGCATTGGGATGTTACAAATTCTATGCTGTTCTGATCTTTCGGCATCTGAATCAAAAGGGAAAATTAACATGTTTATCAGGAAGAGGGTAATGGATCATTCCGATTTCATTGCAAAGTAATAGTTAGTGAAAAAGGCCAAAGGATCTTGCATGTTTCAAAGCAAAGAGCTCGATTAGACCACCGAAAACCGGTATCAGAACTCGGGTTCCCGCCATTTCCTGACGAAAACACATTGAGCGTATCAAAATATAGAAAAAATTCAAGAAGATAATTTTACATTTGTTGATCAAACTAAAACATGTAAGTGAGCTTTTAAGCAAACAGAACCATAGCCTTCTGCTATGAACAAAAGGGGCAGATCAAACATTCATAAACCTGGTATGGAGATCTGATCCTCCATATATATGGATAAAACACTGAAAAAAGATAAACATACCCGTGTCGGATACATTCCTCAGTATCTAACACTTTCACCCGAATCGAACTGAATAACATAGACTTAAACTACTGACTAAAAGAAGTAAAAGGAGGGAAAAGTACCCACATGTGAAGAATGTGAACCAGAGGCATTGCCATAGTTAATCCAAGTTGGATGATTGGACATAGCAACCTCTCCATGAATCCTGTTTTGCATTTTTTTTTCATCGTCACAAAATCAGAATACTTGTCTCTATTTTCTCGAATTTCGGAACACGAAAACCAAACATTTGAGAGAATAATGTTACCCCGCATAGAGAGAAATCACAAAAGGGAAATGTGAAAGAGCTTCACAAGCCTTTGATCTTATGGGGTGCTGAAAATGAGCATCCCTGCAAAAGGGACCCAATGGTTTCTGCAACTCATCTTTCTCCTCTTTGACATTGAAATAAGCACTACAACAGTCTTCCCGTTCAACAAACCTTAAAAAAGAAAAAAAAAAATGCTTCATTTGAGTTCAAATGAACCTCCAAAAAAGAAGAAATGATGAAAAAAATAATATAATTTATGGTGACCAGTACCTAGAAGGTCATCACCCAATTTCCAAACAACACAAAAATCCCAACCTTGACCCTCTACAAATGCTCTAAGCCACTCCACTGCTCCATCAAAACCTCTCATTGCCAAAGAAATTACTGGAAAAAAAATCTTTGACCGTCTCACTATAAATAAACCAATCACAAGATTTGAGAGAAACAAAAATGATGAATTCTTTTTTAAAGATGTGGGCAATGCTTTTTGGGTTAGCAGTGGACAAAGGATAACCAACGAATAGTGGGTGGTACTGTTAAGGAATCATCTGAAAGTTGGGTACAAAATCTGTGACAAAGAGGCATCTGATGCCTGCAGTAGCAGTAGTGACAGAGGTAGTTTTTTTTTAAATATTCTCTTTTTTTTTAGAAAATCACTAATCTTTTATAAAAGCTACCTGTCCATTGGTTCGAAAGCACCTTGTGACAGCTACCTGTAACTGCAGAAACCCATCATCATCCCATATAGTACGCGGTTTGATAAGTTCATGCCATATGATTTTCACAATAATAAAATAATTGAAAGAACCAAACATGATATATTGATATGGTACAAGAACCATATGATGAAGAAGCAATGAACAATGTTTTTCTTTAGTATATACTCATAATCTTCTTTAGTTATTACCAACATAAAATTTAAAACTTAAAGAGAATATAACATTTCCTGGGATAGTTAAAGTAACTGAATTGATTCACAATAAATAATATTAAAGACTTGGTTTTATTGGAAAGTATATTGAATTATTAAGTAGTAATTTTGAATTAATTTTTAAAATATTATGTGATCTAATCACTCAACTAAAATATTATTATAAATAATAACTTATATATAGATTACAAATTTTATTAATTTATATTAATAAAAGTATAATATTTAAATAAAAAATAACACATTTTTATAAGCTTTAATCCCTTATATGATTTGTCTGGAAAGGAATAAACCACATTTACAAATTCAGTTATTCTCCGAATTCATCCAAATAATATCAAAAAAAAAATGGACATTTGGTGCTCGTTTTCCCCATTTTTCGGTCGGTCTAAAATAGTAATAATAAAGTTAGGTTCAGCTTTTTATATCTATTTTCAGGAAGCTTCATTTAGTTGAATGGTCGAAGACTTCGTTATTTTCCGAAGACCAAGCCCGTTGCCGCCCTTTGTATAGCGTGTTTCATGTGCTTCATCTCTTTTGCCGCCTAACTTCTAGACTTCCAAAGGAAAAAGCTATACCCTTTCAATTTCCCATTGTCAATTTGCTGAATTTTAAACTCTGGGTTTTGCTTTGTGTTTCTTTTCACTTGGCATCTCAACGGGATTGAATATTCGCGTCCCCAGATTCATACTGTAAGTTGAACCCTTTTTTCAACTGATTATTTTTCTTAATTTTTCATCTCAAAAAGTTGTTAGATTTCTGTTGGGATGTTCGTTGTTTGTTTCTGATTCTCGGTTTTCTTGTATCTACCTTTTATCATTTGATTACAGCGTTTTAGGTTGCGTTTGGGAATTTGGATTTCGGATTTAGACTGGTGTAAAATTCGATGATAGACAAGATATAAATGTAATTTGTGGATTTATTCTTGGATGTCTATTTAGGGGTGAATTTGAAATTCATGCAGATATTTATGATTTTGAGTTTCATATTTTTTTACAATTTATATAACAAATGAAATTCGCATTTAAATATTCAAAAACATTCTAATGATGGATTGTGATTCCAATTGATCTGTCTTGAAGGAAAATCTTGAATTTCGATTTATGTGGAATTTCTTTAGAGATTTAGCTTGATTTGATTAATTGTTTCATAGGTTGATCTTTGGGGATTATTGTTAGTTTAATCTGATTGTAGGAGTTTTTCCAACGTTTCCAAGTAAAAATTTACTTCCTTTAAAAGATGTACTTTCACTTTTTCTTTTTTTGGTACATGTACTTTCTGTTAATTAACTGATGAAAAATTATATTGTTATGACTCTTACATTCTTCTTGAAGCATCCATGTTTTACCCCCAAATTTGATGCATATTTAGACAATGTTAGGGTATATGACCCTC